CCGAGGGTTGCGATCCTGTTGCCGGTCCCGGTCCAGTACGGGCACGACACTGAGGATTGCGATCCGTTGCCGGTCACGAAAAAAGACAAAAAGGGAAAAAAAAAAAAAAGAAATTGGCTAGGAGGTAGCTGCCTGTCCAACACAGGCCACCGCCTACCACCATGTGTCAGTGTTGGGGCCCCCAGGCACTTTCCACTCCCCCATCAGCAGCAGCTGGAACCCCTATGGGCTTCCCCATCCCACCTCATCCTCTTCCATCAGTCAGGAAACCAGGGCCTAATCAAGCCCCTGAAAGAAATGCACAAGCCAGGAGTGCTCATGGCCAGTGCTGAGGCTCCCCTGGGCCCAAGCTCTGACCTCTGGGAGATTGTTAACAATGCAAATTCCTGAGACTTTCATGAACCACAGGGTGGGACTCAAGAACTATGGGGGTGTGATAGGTTCTCAGGGTGTCCCTCAGAGGAACCACCACCTGGCAGAGTCCGCCCCTGTCACCCTTGGGAAACAGCTTCCTGAGGCCCATGGTTCCCACCCCAGGACAACATTGGGGATGTGGTAATCAAAGCCATCCAGCCATATATCGACAATGAAGAGTTCCAGCCAGCTGCCATCGCCAAGGTGTCCAAGGCCTGCACCTCCATCTGCCAGTGGGTGCGCGCCATGCACAAGTACCACTTTGTGGCCAAGGCCGTGGAGCCTAAGCGGGTGAGGGCCGAAAAGAGCTGGTGGGGGACGGGCCTCCCAGGCTCCCCTCCCCAGGGTATTCAGCAAGCTGGCACTGTGCCCTCTGCTGGCAGCAAGCCCTGCGGGAGGCCCTGGATGACCTGGAGGTAACACAGAGGATCCTGGAGGAGGCGAAGCAGCGTCTGTTCGAGGTGGAGGATGGCATCGCCACGATGCAGGCCAAGTACCGAGAATGCGTTGCCAAGAAGGAAGAGCTGGAGCTGAAGTGTGAGCAGTGTGAGCAGCGGCTTGGCCGCGCTGACAAGGTGTGCACACCTCCTCCAGGAAGGCCTGCAGGCGTGCTCACTCCAGACAGGGGCTGGAAGGGCCCAGTGGTGGGTGGGTCTTGGGGTGGCTTCCACACCTCCTCTCTGGCAACCTCGGGGGCTACAGCAGGCAGAAGCCCAGCCTCCAGAAACCCATCCCATGGGGCTGCCTCTGCAGCTCATCAACGGGCTATCGGATGAGAAACTGCGCTGGCGGGAGACGGTGGAGAACCTGGAGCACATGCTCAACAACATTTCTGGCAACGTGCTGGTGGCTGCCGGCTTTGTGGCCTACCTGGGCCCCTTCACGGTAAAGAGCCCCCAGCTCTGTCTCTGACCATCCGCACAACACACAGAGGCCCTTCCTTGAGGTCACCTCCCTGAGGGGCAGCTATTCCCTCACTCACTCACCAAACAAGCACTTATCAGGTGCACCCTCTGAGCTGGGAGCAGTAAGGCTCCAGGGACCCAGCAGTGCACAAAACAGCCAGAAACCCCACCCTTCACCCCCCGGTGGAGCAGGCCTTCCAGTGGGAAAATACAAGAGCTCTCACACTTGTGCACTTGTTATGTGCCAGGTGTTTTTCCAAACATCTGTATGTCCCATTTAATCCTCACCATGCCCTTCCAGGTGGGCATAGTTAGCATTACCCTGCTTCACACATGAGGGGCTGAGTTTTGTGGAGGCCAAGAAAGCTGCCCAAAGCCAGACTAGAATGCAGGCGTCTGACTCCACGTCTGAGCTCTGACCTCTGCATGCAACTGCCAAGCACTATGGTGTAGCGGGAAGTGGGGAGAGCACCACAGGTGTCACGGTGGGGTGGCCCTGAGTCTGGTATCTCCCCAGGGCCAGTACCGCATGGCACTCTACCACCAGTGGGTCAAGCAGCTCACAATCCACCATGTCCCGCACACCTCTGAGCCAACGCTAATCGGGACGCTGGGGAACCCTGTGAAGATCCGCTCGTGGCAGGTGCCCACCCCAGGAATAGGAGTAACCAAGCCGGGCCTGTGTCGTGGTCCCTCCCATTCTCCTTTCGGGGCCTGGCTTAGAGATGCCTCCCCTGAACCCTCCCAGGCTGGGCAAGAGGGTGGTGGGTAGCAGAGAAAGTTGGGCCGAGTGCAGTACAGATGCTAGCTAAATGTGGGGCGAGGTTCTAAGGGATACTTTTAAGTGTGTGCGGTGCGGAGGTTAAGAAAGGTTTCCTAAAAGAAGTCATGACTGAGCTAGACCCCGAAGGGCAGGGAGAGTTGGCAAAGGGAGAGAACAAAGAGGCTATAGGCAGAGACTGAGCATGGGCAAAGGCCAGGAGGGCTGATGGGGTATGGGCTCCATGAATATGGTCCACTGAGTGAGGAATCGGTAGGCAAGAGGACAGAAAGGCCCAGTGAAGGAGTGCATCAGGAGCCACCCGAGGAGTGGAAGAGAGGCAGAGGGTCGGGGGGCTGAGACCTTGCCTACATTGTGGCCTGCCCCCCACCTCCTAGGGGGTGCAATAAGGAGAGGGACGTCCAAAGCCAAAGCATGAGGTTGGGAGTAGTTGATGGCCCAGGTGGCCCTGCTCATAGGAGAGCCCTGACCCTGTCTGGTGCCCGGCATCCCACAGATTGCTGGCCTCCCTAATGACACACTGTCAGTGGAGAATGGGGTCATCAACCAGTTCTCCCAGCGCTGGACCCACTTCATTGACCCTCAGAGCCAAGCCAACAAATGGATCAAGAACATGGTGAGGCCACCTGCCAGGTGCTGTTGCCCCATCCCAGCCAGGCTAGCAGTGCAGGGGGAGCAGCTGAGCCTCAGGCCGGCTCTCGGCCCCTACAGCCCCAACCTACTCCTTTCCCTGCAGGAGAAGGACAATGGGCTGGATGTGTTCAAGCTGAGTGACCGCGACTTCCTGCGCAGCATGGAGAATGCCATCCGCTTTGGCAAGCCATGTCTTCTGGAGAACGTGGGCGAGGAGCTGGACCCAGCCTTGGAGCCCGTGCTGCTCAAGCAGGTGGGCGTGTGGGGGGCCAGTGGGAGCCTATAGACCTGGACAAGGGAGACGGCAGCCCCCTTCCCCTGATGCACTGGCAAAGCTCAGGCCACAGCACCTGCCCATCTCATCCCACCCACCACAGACATACAAGCAGCAGGGGAACACTGTGCTAAAGCTGGGGGACACGGTGATTCCCTACCATGAGGACTTCAGGATGTACATCACCACCAAGCTGCCCAACCCACACTACACACCTGAGATCTCCACCAAACTCACCCTCATCAACTTCACCCTCTCGCCAAGGTAAACTCCCACCCCTCGGGACCCCCAAACATCAGCTCTGCCTCCACCTGCCCCACTCCCCCTCTCCCAAAAGGCCAGGACTTTTCCCCACTCAAAGGTTCTGCCAGCTTCCTCCCAGGCACTCTGGCATTCCAGGCCTTTCTAGCCCCTCCACCAGCTCCCCTTACCTGCTACTGTTTCCACCTAAGAAACCACACCCCAGCTCATCGTGATCTTTGGTCAGGGTCTCCCCAACCTCTCTGGCCAATACCAGGCGCTTGCCTCTTCCGGGCACCTTTCCTCTCCAGCTTGCCCTTGCTAGGTCCTTGTGCTCTCACTCCAGAGCTGTCTCAGAGCCCTGAGTTGAGCACAGTGTAGTGCCCTGCACCCAAGTCCTGCTTCCTACTCTTGCTGCCACAGACCCAGACACTATGGCTTTCACAGGCTATCTACACAGAGTCCAGCTCTCACTCCAGAGCTGTCTCAGAGCCCTGAGTTGAGCACAGTGTAGTGCCCTGCACCCAAGCCCTGCTTCCTACTCTTGCTGCCACAGACCCAGACACTATGGCTTTCACAGGCTATCTACACAGAGCCCATATCCCACAGGCCTGCTCTATGCTACTTCATTTCAGTGGCCACTATGACCCTCGTCATAAACCAGGGGGTGAAAACTCCCTTAAAGCCTGTCCCTGTTGATCACCCACTGCCCCCTCCTTCTGAGGAGTTGTCTAGAGATCCCAGCAGGTCACACATCCAACTGGCCAGCCCCTGCTGGGATTTCAGACTGCCACCAAGGTCTCACTGAGAGCTGGTCAGTTTGCAGGCAGTCTCCTGCACTAGCCCTGCAGCCTGAAATGGAGGCCAGTCCTCCCTGGCTGACATTGGCAAGGGTGCTGGGCTCTTGGAGTCCCAGAAGCATAGATGGATAGGTGAGCAGGCTCAAGCCTGGCCCTCCAGGTCCCACCAGTTATTATTACAGACATGGTGTTTCCTTTGCCCCTGGCAGCGGCCTAGAGGACCAGCTCCTGGGCCAGGTAGTGGCTGAGGAACGACCTGATCTGGAGGAGGCCAAGAACCACCTGATTATCAGTAATGCTAAAATGCGGCAGGAGCTGAAGGACATTGAAGACCAGATCCTATACCGGCTCAGCTCCTCCGAGGGCAACCCTGTGGATGACATGGAGCTCATCAAGGTGCTGGAGGCTTCCAAGATGAAAGCTGCAGAGATCCAGGTTGGCAACTGCCTGTCCACCCCACCTGCCTCACCCTACCTGCCCTAGGCCTGCCCCCTGCCCCCATCCACCCTCTGCCTTTTACTCTTTGCCAGCCTACCTGGGCCTGACCTGCCCCCCTCTACCCCCAGGCCAAAGTCAGGATTGCAGAGCAGACAGAGAAGGACATTGACCTCACGCGCATGGAGTACATACCTGTGGCCGTCCGCACCCAGATTCTCTTCTTCTGTGTGTCTGACCTAGCCAGCGTGGATCCCATGTATCAGTACTCCCTCGAGTGGTTCCTCAACATCTTCCACTCAGGAATTGCCAACTCAGAGAGGGCAGGTAGCTTGGCCCACATGCACACCAGGCTCCCACCCTGACACAGATATGACACAAACTCACACCCGTGCTCACTTGCACATACTCTCACATCAGACTCATGATACATAAGAACACACACACCACTCCCTTCCCTCCTCTCAGCCCCTTTACTAGGAACACCATATGCTCCAAGGGGATGCCCAGACTGTCCCTCTGGCTGCTGTGGAGACTGGCTGGACTGGGCTGGACCCTGGGATCTTCCTTCCTCTCACCAGTCCCCACACTCTGCCATCACCTTTCTGCCCTGCAGACAACCTGAAGAAGCGCATCACCAACATCAACTGCTACCTCACCTACAGCCTCTACAGCAATGTCTGCCGCAGCCTCTTTGAGAAGCATAAGCTGATGTTCGCCTTCCTGCTGTGTGTCCGCATCATGATGAACGAGGGCAAGATCAACCAGGTGCATGAGTAGAGAGACAGCCAGGTGGGCCCAGGACAGACCACTTGAGGGGTTGCCCTGTTTGCAGGGCCTAAGAGAACAGGTAGAAGGGAAAGAAAAGCCAGGCACGAGGGCAGAGCAGAGGGACAGAGGGCCAAGGAGACACAATTTCTTGGTTAAAAACAGCCAGGAGACCCCCGGGTAACTGTGGCCAAACCAGTGCTGTGAGCACAGGCCTTCTCAGAGCCTTGAATGTGGTGATGCACAGAGAGACAGTCCGCAGGAACAGACCATCCTGGTCCTCCAACACCTCTTTGGCCAGGAGCTCACACTCTCATGAAGCCCCAGGTATTTTGTGGTGCATTGGAAAGCCCTGCAAAGTTAGTGAGAAAGATAGCCACCACTTCTCGAGCCCTAACTGTGTGCCAGGAACTGGGCTCACAGGTACACTCTCCCCTAGGAAGTGGTCAGAGTTCTGATTCTTCCTACTTCAAATGAGGAGACTGAGGCCCAGGGAGGTTAAAGCCTTTACCCTAAGGGTACACAGCCAGGAAAAGGTGAAGCAGGGACACTAGCCCAGATCTGTTCGACTACCACCCCCAAGGGGGACTCAGTTTCTCTGGGTGAGAGTGGTAAAGGAGGTACTGATGGGTGGGGGTTACTGGAGGCAGGGAGGAGCTGGCCACAGGGCCTGGGCATCAGCCTCCCCCTGCCCCATGCCAGAGTGAGTGGCGCTACCTCCTGTCTGGGGGCTCCATCCAGACTGTGACTGAGAATCCTGCACCAGATTGGCTGTCAGATCGGGCCTGGCGAGACATCCTGGCCCTCTCCAACCTGCCAGCCTTTTCATCCTTCCCCTCTGACTTTGTGAAGCACCTCTCAGAATTCCGAATTATCTTCGACAGCCTTGAGCCCCACCGGTGAGCTGGGTCCCAGAGTATGGCAGGGTGGGCACATCAAGGGGTTGAATTCCTAGTAACAGGCCTGCCCAGGGGCCTTCTCTGAGGGGCCACCCAGGGTTGCCCTGAAGCCGTGGCCATATCTCTTCTGTGCCCCCAACCCTGTACCCCCAGGACACCCCACTCTTCCCTGCTGTCCAGCTGGCAGAATTCCATGGGCCAGTGGCCTCCTACAGGCTGGCTCTCAGGGAAAGGTGGGCACTGTTGCAGGGAGCCCTTGCCTGGTATCTGGGACCAGTACCTTGACCAGTTCCAGAAGCTGCTGGTCCTCCGCTGCCTGCGAGGGGACAAGGTTACCAATGCCATGCAGAACTTTGTGGCCACCAGCCTGGAGCCACGCTTCATTGAGCCTCAGGCAAGTGCTTGCACCCAGGCTGGACTAGTACTCTGGAATAGTCCCCAACCTGGGTCCCAGGGCCCTGGCTGCACCTGGATGGACTACATTGCAGCCTTTGCCAGGCCAGAACTCCTACCTGCCCCTCAGAGGCTCTGGGAGGTTCCAGGCCCCACAGGAAAGCCCCTCTGGGACCTCTCTGGGAGCCCCAGGATCCCCCTCCCTTGTCCTGGTCCCTGTGTCTCTTCAACCCCGGGTGGTCCCAGCATCTCTCTCTGCCCTTGCAGACAGCCAACCTGCCACTGGTGTTCAAAGACTCCAACTCCACCACACCACTCATCTTTGTGCTGTCACCTGGCACAGACCCAGCTGCTGACCTCTACAAGTTTGCTGAAGAGATGAAGTTCTCCAAGAAGCTCTCTGCCATTTCCCTGGGCCAGGGCCAGGTAAGAGCTAGGCAGGGAGGAAGGGCGTGGGCTGGGGGATGGGCCAATTGGTCTCCCAACACTCAGTGCTTCTTCCCCCACAGGGCCCTCGGGCAGAAGCCATGATGCGCAGCTCCATAGAGAGGGGCAAGTGGGTCTTCTTCCAGAACTGCCACCTGGCACCAAGCTGGATGCCAGCCCTCGAGCGCCTCATTGAGCACATCAACCCTGACAAGGTGTGCTGCCCTGCCTGTTACAGACCCACTGAGGCCTAATCATCCATCCATCAGGGACTGATGAGGCTTCAGTGAGATAATACTGAAAATCACTCAGCCCAGCCTCAGACACATAGCAAGCACTTGGTAACTGACATATGTACCATGTATCAACTAGGTTAGTCTTCTCAGTGGCCCCTGAATTACTGGTGCAAGGCATGATGTGTCTTGCCCAGGGCCACCCAGCACAGACCAGTGAACTTGGGACTTCCCAAAGCCCATATTCTTACCCAGTTGTCCATGCAGCATTGCTCAGCTCACTCCAGGGATGGAGTCAGACTAAGGCTGAGCCCAGGGACCCTGGGTAGGAGGGAGCCTGGTGTTGGGGCAGCTAACAAGTATGGGTCTCAACACTCATGTGGAGCTGTGGGCACCAGGTGCACCGGGACTTCCGCCTGTGGCTCACCAGCCTGCCCAGCAACAAGTTCCCAGTGTCCATCCTGCAGAACAGCTCCAAGATGACCATTGAGCCGCCACGTGGTGTCAAAGCTAACCTGCTGAAGTCCTACAGCAGCCTCTCCGATGACTTCCTCAACTCCTGTCACAAGGTGAGGCACACTTGGTGCATGCCCACCCTACCTGCCCCCATCCCCACCCCTCACGTGCCCTGCTCCCACCTCCCGCAGGTGATGGAGTTCAAGTCCCTGCTGCTGTCTCTGTGCCTGTTCCACGGGAATGCGCTGGAGCGCCGTAAGTTTGGGCCCCTGGGCTTCAACATCCCCTATGAGTTCACAGATGGAGACCTACGCATCTGCATCAGCCAGCTCAAGATGTTCCTGGATGAATATGAGGACATCCCCTACAAGGTGGGCCAGGAACAGGCTGAGGGCCAGGGGCAGGGGTCTTGGGCACTCATGGGGGCCCTCATCGATCTACTCCATAGGTCCTCAAGTACACAGCAGGGGAGATCAACTATGGGGGTCGTGTCACCGACGACTGGGACCGGCGCTGTGTCATGAACATCCTAGAAGACTTCTACAGCCCTGCTGTGCTCTCCCCTGACCACATCTACAGTGCCTCGGGTGTCTACCACCAGATCCAACCCACCTATGACCTCAACGTGAGCAATCCTTAAGGGCAGGATGGGAGACGGCCTGCTGGGCTAGGGTTCTGGGGTGCTGTGAACATCTTGGTGCTGGGTGAGAGGAGATGTGGCCTCTACCCACCAGTAGCTTCTTTTTATTTTTATTTTTTATTTATTTTTATTTTTTATTTTTTTTAAGGCCTCTACCCACCAGTAGCTTCTTTTTATTTTTATTTTTTATTTATTTTTATTTTTTATTTATTTTTATTTTTTTTCCTTTTTTTGTCTTTTTTCGTGACCGGTAACGGGATCGCAACCCTCAGTGTTGCGCCCGCACTGCGCTCAGTGAGCGGACTGGTCTCTATATGGGATCCGAACCCTCGGCGGGAGCGCTTGTCTTTTTTCGTGACCGGTAACGGGATCGCAACCCTCGGTGTTGCGCCCGCACTGCGCTCAGTGAGTGGACTGGTCTCTATATGGGATCCGAACCCTCGGCGGGAGCGCCGCCACACTCTCAAGTGCCGCACTCTACCGAGTGCGCCACCGGGCTGGCCCAGCTTCTTTTTATTGATTAATCTATCCCACAAAGACAGCCATGGTGAAAGAGGCGGAGTCAGTCCCTTCTCCCCAGAGCTTGGGCTCTGTGGGGAGAGGCAAACTCCATCTCAGCCCCTCCTGGAGTGTGGTTATTCAGTGAGGATTAGGGTAGTTCCTCCAAGACATTAACCTGACCCAGACTGTGCAGTCAGGGAGGGCTCCTTGAAGAAATGATGCTTCACCTAAGATGTGTAGTGAGAAGTCATGAGCCAGGGCTGGGTTGGGTGGGTCATCAATGCAAAGGGCCTGTGGCAGGAAGGAGTGTGACGAGTTTGAGCAGCTAAATGGAGGAGCAGAGAACTGGATGGCAGTGAGAAGGGGCCTGGGAGGGAAGCGAGGGAGACACTAGTCAGCACCTCAGAGGCCACGCAGTCTTGAGAACAGGGAGATGCATAAATGTTACAACCAGGGGTGATGAATGGGGGACAGGACAAATGGGGATGTGTTCAATTGGAGGGGTACTCTGAAGGCTGGAGGTAGAGCAAGGCAGAGGCTTCAGTTTCAGCCCTCCTACCTCCTAGGGTTACCTCTCCTACATCAAAGGCCTCCCGCTCAACGATATGCCTGAGATCTTTGGCCTGCACGACAATGCTAACATCACCTTTGCCCAAAATGAGACTTTCGCCCTGCTCAGTGCCATCATCCAGCTGCAACCCAAATCATCCTCTGTGGGTGGCCAGGGCCGAGAGGAGGTAGGTGGTGGAAGGGGGAAGGGGCCCAAGGACTGGGCTGGGGCAGGGTCCACCATCCTGCCTGCTGCCCTATGGCAAGGAACTTCGTGCATGTGGGATCCTACAAGGGTTAAGGGGGGCCAGCCCTGACACCCCGTGTCCCTTTGCCCCTGCAGATAGTAGAGAATGTGGCCCAGAACATTCTGCTCAAGGTGCCTGACCCTGTCAACTTGCAATGGGTGATGGCCAGGTACCCTGTGCTGTATGAGGAATCAATGAACACGGTTCTAGTACAAGAGGTCATCAGGTAATCCCCCCTGCCATACCCCCGTCCCTGAGTCAGTGGCCACTGGGCTGTAGAGAAATGACAACAGGAGTTACTATGGGCCAGGCACCATGCCAAGTGTTATACATGCATCCTCTAACTCAGCCACTTTTTTTTTGGCGGCTGGCAGGTATGGGAATTCGAACCCTTGACCTTGATGTTGTAACACCACGTCAGTCACATTTTTATTATTCTCATTTTATAGATGAGTAAACTGAGGCCCCCAAAAGGTTAAGTGACCTGCCCAAGGTCACACATTTGCTAAGGGCCATAGCTGGGATTTGTACCCAGGCTGCCTGACCCAGCTCTATACCCTTAGCCTGTATGTTCTGCCATTGTTTTTGTGTCTGTGGCCCTGAAGCATAGATACTGCCACATGACCCCAGTCCACTGCCTATTTCCTTTCCACTGGCCTCACAGGTACAACCGCCTGCTGCAGGTGATTACACAGACGCTGCGAGACCTGCTCAAGGCACTCAAGGGGCTGGTTGTGATGTCCTCGCAGCTGGAGCTGATGGCTGCCAGCCTGTATAACAATACCGTGCCCGAGCTCTGGAATGCCAAAGCCTACCCATCGCTCAAGCCTCTGTCTTCATGGGTCATGGATCTGCTGCAGCGCCTGGACTTTCTACAGGCCTGGATCCAAAGTGGCATCCCGGCTGTCTTCTGGATCAGTGGCTTCTTCTTCCCCCAGGCTTTCCTGACAGGCACTTTGCAGAACTTTGCCCGCAAGTCTGTCATCTCCATTGACACCATCTCCTTCGATTTCAAGGTTTGGGCACAGGCAGGGCCAGGTCAGGTGACAGCCTGGGATACAGCCCAGGCAAGGGGGGCACTGAAGCCACAGCTGACAAGAAATTGGGGGACCCCTGAGCAGGAGGGTGGGAAGGTCTAGGCCAGAAGAGGCCATGTGCCCCCTGGAAATCCACACAGGCAGGGTACAGACTGCAGGCCACCAGCTAAAATGGTGGGTAAGTGATGGGCAGGCAGGCAGCAGCTCTCAGGAGGGAGTTTGTGCCTCCTGACCAAAATCCTATTCCAACTTCTGTTAGTATGTTGTGGCTATGTTTGTGTGCCCATCACAGGTGATGTCCCAGTCACCATCAGAGCTCAAGATAAGGCCTCAAGTAGGGTGCTATATCCATGGGCTGTTCCTGGAAGGTGCCCGCTGGGACCCAGTGGCCTTCCAGCTGGCTGAGTCTCGGCCCAAGGAGCTGTACACAGAGATGGCTGTTATCTGGCTGTTGCCAACCCCCAACCGCAAGGCTGAGGACCAGGACTTCTACCTGTGCCCCATCTACAAGACGCTGACCCGTGCTGGTAGGGGGCCCAGGGCAGGGAGCCTACCCTACAAGTGGGGGCCCAAGACTGATCCAGCCCAGCCCAGCCCAAGCCATGTAGACTGAGCCAGGCTAGCTGAACAGGAAGGCTGACAGACTTAGGTCAGGAGAAAGCCAGACTAGCAGCAGACAGGTTAAGGCCCAGGAGCTGGGCTCAGAGGCTGTGGGGAGGCCCCTGAGCTCACCGCTTGCTTGCCTCCATCAGCAGATCCACCTTGGGTCTTGGGAGCCTATGACTCTCAGCCTGCTATGTTCAGAGGGGTAAATGAGGCCCGGAAGAGGGGTGGACCTAGGATGGGTCCATCAGAAAATAAACAATGGCGTCAACTCTCCCATCCCTATTTTAATCCCAAATTCAATAACCCAACAGGCCTGAGCCTTGGCCAGACCCACTCACCAGGCAGGTTTCCTCCTGTATCAGGGCTCCCTCCACATCCTCAACTCAGTCTGCCAAACCCACTGCCCTTGCCCCTACCCAATCCCTGCTATAGTAATGACAGCACTAACTAACCCTCCCCTCCTTGCCTGCTCCAGGAACATTATCAACCACAGGCCACTCGACCAACTATGTCATTGCTGTGGAGATCCCCACCGACCAGCCCCAGCAACACTGGATAAAGCGTGGTGTGGCCCTCATCTGTGCCCTGGACTACTAGACTTGGACAGAAGGACTGGGGTCATTAAATTTGAGTTTTCCAAGCAGTCCAGCTGTGCCTCAGCTGCTTGCATGAGGTCCCCTGTGTAGGACTCTGCCAGGGAGGTGAGGAGCTGCAGCAACCTCAGCAGAGAATGCAGTTAGCTTTGGCCTGCTGTGTCTGTCCAAACACAAGGGAAGAGATGCATACCTCCCAGAATGCACTAGGCAGGACTAGAGGCAGCCCTGTCTCCTCAACCCACAGCCCCAGCAGCTCTCCAGGTTGCAAAACCACTAGATCTGGTGAAAGATACACCCTCTCCCCTTGAAGTGCACCTTGTCCACAGCCCACCTGAAGCCCCTCCTCAGCCCAGTTCCTAAATCCCAGACCTACGGTCCCAAAGATCTCCAGCCCAGAAGGCCAGAGATGCCCCAAGAATGCATACTTCTCACTTCTGTGCTCATAGGGCCTTCGGCCCAGGTCTAACAGGTGCCTTGTTCCCACTGCAGCCTAGCCTACAAACCTCAGGCCAGCAACCAGAAGAGGGTTCATTTCTGAGGAGAGTTTTATTCATTCATTGATCCTGTATTTACAGGGGTCAGAGGGATCAGGCCATACTCAGCCCAGAGAGGCAGCTGCGACACCTGCCAGCCCGCCCAGTCACTATGTACAGATAAAGGGCCTGCCTGGATCACCGCAAAGCCATCTGGCAGAGACCATGGAGCTATGTCTGGGGCCTGAGCTCCAAGAGGCTGTGCTGAGTCCATTATCTCTTGGCATCAGGCCCTCTGGGAACACAGGGGCTCCAATTGGTTGTCTTGATCCTGCTGTCCCCCACACACTGAGTTCCTTGCAGAGACTGAGGAAGCCAACATAGAAGGGAGAGCTGAGTGATGCCAGCTTCCTGTAAGCAGCTCTATCTCTGCTATCCCTAAGAGGAATGAGACATAGTAATACTGAGGGGATAGGCAGAGGCTCCTCTGAGCCCCAGGCTTCAGGGACAGAGCCAGGAGCCCAAGGTAGGCCCATAGCCAGGGCCACAACACTGAAGGCAAAGAGCCCCTAGCCTTGCTGCAGAGAGCAATTTTGACAAGCTCAGGCATAACTAAGAGGGCAGTCTACAGGCTACCGAACAGTTCAAGCACTTCTCTCTGCTCAGGCCATGGTACCCCAACAGATTGCTCATCCCAGCCTCGCTGGGACACCCCACCCCAATCCAGCCCAGCAGCTGGGTCCCTGAGTTTGGTGCTCTCCCAAGAGGAATGAAGAAAGTGGCTGTGGCTAGAGCAGCAGGGCCCAATGCCCACCCAGGCCCCCAACCGGGACCCTGCAGTTGTGACCCTGGTGTGATGCAGGGACCTGGGCCCACCAGGATGACAGCTGCTAGTAAAGAAAGAGTCAGGAAGCCAGCTATGTCAATGCGGTGACAAGATGGGTTGCAGCCCAGAAAAATAGACATCTCTGATAGATAAAATCTATATTCTGCTTCCCAGGCAGAAGGGCCAGGTCCTGCCACTCCACAGCCGGCTGTGGAGGAAGCAGCAGCACCTTGCTGTGCCCCAACTCCAGCTGTTGCTTCTGGAGCACTATGAGGTGACCAGCCCCCTGCCAGGCCCCAGGGCACAACGCAGTGAATGCAGCCTGGCTCCCATTCCCAGGGCTGGGCTCTGGCTGGAACTATTCAGTAATACTGGGAAAAGGGCTCAAGGCAGGGAGAGGGACCCTTGTGAGGTCTATGCGGCAAGAGTGGGCTGCAGCATCAGGGCCAGCAGTCCTCACTGGCGCTTGGCCTTGTAGGGGCGAGAGCGTTTCCGCCGGTCAGGCTTCCGCTGCTTGTGGAGCCGGCCAATGCTGACCCCTTGGCGCCGCCGCACTGAGATGTTCTGCTCCACCAGGTTGGCCAGCATGCCTATAGAGAGGCAGAAACACTTGAGCAGGTGGCTCGTTGCCCAGCAGCCAACTGCTCAATCAGCGACAGCTTCCAGCTAGGAGCTGAGGCTCTTGCAGTCCTCCCTATGCCCCACCAGCTGCTCAAGCCTCAGGAGAGGCCCAAGGGAGGGGGGACCTGAAGGACATGGCGCTTAGCAGGGGATGCCAGTGAGTCACCTCACCTTCCTGAGCCAGCATGGAGATGAAGGTGCAGATAAACTCGTCATAGTTGTGGGTCCTTCTCTGGTCATCAATCTGCGGGAGAGAAGAGTGAGGGCACCACAGCCCATCTCCCCACAGCAGCTACCAGCTGACATCGGGAGAGGACGGAGGACCAGGCAGCTGGAGAGAGAACCTACCTTGAACTTCTTCCTCTTCTCCACCTCTTCCTTGAGGCAGGCCTCATAGTTTGCAATCTCAGCCTCTACACACTTCAGCAGTGCCAGCAGCTCCTGCCAAAACCCAGCACTGTACCTGAGGTGGGCTGGCCAGCACCAAAGTCCCACTCCCCAGAGGCAACTAGAGGCCAGAGTCCATGGAAACTACTGAGGCCCTGCCACCACCTAACCCAGAAAAGTTTCCCAGGACCTGGCTCCAGCCACCAACCTTCACACCAAAATTCCAATTGAGAACCCAGCACCTGGGTAGCAGTGGCCCAGGCCCTTCCCTCTGCCAGGATTGGAAAAGAAAGCACAAAGGAGGCTCACCTTCGGTGAATACTTCTCCCCACTCAAGGGCTCGCCCAGCCCAGACCTGACCAGCCCAGTCTTCTCTCTGTTATCTGTGGCTTCTACCACCTCCTTCTCCTCTGGGCTGCTGGACTCCTGGTTGCCTTGGCTCAGTCTGTTGGAGGGTGAGGAACCTTTTCCACCCTCTGGGAAGAGAAGGCACAAAAAGACCCATCAAAGTGCAGAATACTTTGTGGTCATTTGGCCATTTCCCTCCTGGGTATGCCAAGTGGCCAGTGAGCCAGCCTAAGGCCCACCTGTCAGTGCCAGGGGACTCAGTACACCGTCCTCAGCCAGATGCAGCAGGCCTGTGCTGATGACAGGACCCAGGTCGCGGACAGCACGGTTGTAGCGTATGCAGTCAACACGCAGCAGGCTGTCATCCTCTCCAAAAAGCACCTTGGAGATGTGGGAGGTGACAGGGCTGGAGGGCCGTGTGGGGTTGGCCGAGCGGATGGGCGAGCGCAGTGGGGAGTTGAAAGCGCTGCCAATCTCAGAGGCTGTGTCTGTGCTCTCATTGCTGGGAGTGGGCGAGGGCTGGGAGTGTGTGGGCACTGCCACAGCTGGACTCCCAGCCCCGCTGCTAGTCTTGATGGACAGAGGAATTGAAAGGTCCTTCTGGGACTCTTTGAGCTTCTCAGCCAAGACGTTGATTGTGTTGGGCTGCAGCACTGACAGCTGCCCATCCGCAGAACTGCTCAACGGCCCTGGCTTCCCTGTCCCCTTCCGCCTGTATCTGTGGGGCCCAAGAAGAGGTAAGGCAAGGGAACAGGCCAGGTGACCACACCCATCAATGTCCAGAATGGCTTGAACACATTCTGGTCTCCATGGGCTGATCCTGAAGCTCTTCGTACTGGGTCCAAGCAGCTTGACCCAGCCATGCCAGGCTGGCACCCTAAGCTCTGTCAGCTGCAGCCATGTGTCCTCAAAGGACACTTCCTCTATTCCCACTGCCTCACTTCTAGCCTTTTGCCAATGCAGTGTCTTCCAGCAAAGGTGCATTCCCCACCACCCATAGCTCCTCTATCCCCGCCCCAACCAACCCTGCAAGGGCCAGCTGAAAGGCCACCTCTAATGAGACATGCCTTGATGTATGCTTATGTGCTCAGTGCTCCCCCAAGCCCACCAAAAACTTCTTAGGCACCTGGGGTCAGCCCCTTCATGCCAGCCTCTCCCAGGGCCCTGAACTCTGTAGGTGCTCAGTGTTATCTGCTGAAAGGCATCCCCAGACACAGGCTAGAATACTTAGGATAGGATCCGAGCCAGACCTGACCAGCCCAGTCTTCTCTCTGTTATCTGTGGCTTCTACCACCTCCTTCTCCTCTGGGCTGCTGGACTCCTGGTTGCCTTGGCTCAGTCTGTTGGAGGGTGAGGAACCTTTTCCACCCTCTGGGAAGAGAAGGCACAAAAAGACCCATCAAAGTGCAGAATACTTTGTGGTCATTTGGCCATTTCCCTCCTGGGTATGCCAAGTGGCCAGTGAGCCAGCCTAAGGCCCACCTGTCAGTGCCAGGGGACTCAGTACACCGTCCTCAGCCAGATGCAGCAGGCCTGTGCTGATGACAGGACCCAGGTCGCGGACAGCACGGTTGTAGCGTATGCAGTCAACACGCAGCAGGCTGTCATCCTCTCCAAAAAGCACCTTGGAGATGTGGGAGGTGACAGGGCTGGAGGGCCGTGTGGGGTTGGCCGAGCGGATGGGCGAGCGCAGTGGGGAGTTGAAAGCGCTGCCAATCTCAGAGGCTGTGTCTGTGCTCTCATTGCTGGGAGTGGGCGAGGGCTGGGAGTGTGTGGGCACTGCCACAGCTGGACTCCCAGCCCCGCTGCTAGTCTTGATGGACAGAGGAATTGAAAGGTCCTTCTGGGACTCTTTGAGCTTCTCAGCCAAGACGTTGATTGTGTTGGGCTGCAGCACTGACAGCTGCCCATCCGCAGAACTGCTCAACGGCCCTGGCTTCCCTGTCCCCTTCCGCCTGTATCTGTGGGGCCCAAGAAGAGGTAAGGCAAGGGAACAGGCCAGGTGACCACACCCATCAATGTCCAGAATGGCTTGAACACATTCTGGTCTCCATGGGCTGATCCTGAAGCTCTTCGTACTGGGTCCAAGCAGCTTGACCCAGCCATGCCAGGCTGGCACCCTAAGCTCTGTCAGCTGCAGCCATGTGTCCTCAAAGGACACTTCCTCTATTCCCACTGCCTCACTTCTAGCCTTTTGCCAATGCAGTGTCTTCCAGCAAAGGTGCATTCCCCACCACCCATAGCTCCTCTATCCCCGCCCCAACCAACCCTGCAAGGGCCAGCTGAAAGGCCACCTCTAATGAGACATGCCTTGATGTATGCTTATGTGCTCAGTGCTCCCCCAAGCCCACCAAAAACTTCTTAGGCACCTGGGGTCAGCCCCTTCATGCCAGCCTCTCCCAGGGCCCTGAACTCTGTAGGTGCTCAGTGTTATCTGCTGAAAGGCATCCCCAGACACAGGCTAGAATACTTAGGATAGGATCCGAGGTACCCAGAGCATGCTAGCCTGACAGAGCTGGGGCTGACCTAATGGCAGAGTTGGTGTTCTGCATGTCATCCTCCTCGTCATCCTCATAGTCATCCTCGTCATCTGAATACTGCTGGGGTGGGCGGACTGGAACTCGGCTGCGGCCCACACCTGCTGCCAGGTCCTCCTCCTCCTGAGGCAGAGAGCAAGGCAGTCATAAGCAGGGGTTTCTCAGCCCATGCTGTGCATAGCACTCATAGCAAGAGAGAAAGCCAACACAGCCCTCTAGGCTGAGTCCACTGAACCCCTCCAGGTGCTCCACAGCCCACCCTTGGCTCCTGGGGACGCTGCCACCCACCTGCACTGCACAGGACCCTACGGAATCCTAAGAGTCCTAAGTTCTAAGAGACACAGAAAGCCCTGAAACTCATGCCTTTATTTTGCCAGCAGAACCCAACCTGTAGAGTTATATCAAGGAGGATGCCCTAAACGTTTAACCCCAAAGCCATGTGACTGGATTTAAAGTCAGAGGAGCTCTCCCTGCCTCCCTAATCCCCTGCCACTGTGAAGGCCTCTGAGTATCAGACAGAGGAGCCTAACAGCTCAAGGCCAGGCAAAGGGCAAACACCAGGGAACTACATGGGGAAACTGCCTGTTGTGGCCTCTTAAGAGAATTCTGGAACTGGCTGGTGCGCTCACTGGCTGAGCATGGTGTGGGCGACACCAAGCCAAGGGTTGTGATCCCCTTACTGGTCACAAAAAAAAAAGAATCCTGGAAGGAATCCTGCAATGGTGCTCCCAACTTACCTGCATGGGGGACTTGGCATAGTTGTGATTGTCTAGAAAAGCTGGCAGCCGCTGGACAATGGGCGTGGGGGTGGGGGGAACCCCATTGAGGCTGCTCCCTTGAGGCTTCACCACCAATTTAGGTTTGCTGGGAGGGCTGTGGGTTGTGGCTTGTGGGCATGAACCAGTCACCTCCTCCACGCCATCTGAGACAGGACAAGGAGCACAGGCGGGACCTTTAGCCGAATGCTCAAGAAAAGCTCAATCTCCCCAGTCCTGTGACACAGCACTGCTCCTCCTCCCTTTCTAGAGAACAGCCAAGCCAGCTGGCAGAATGGGAGTCAGCAACTCTAAGCCATGGCCCCACAGAAAGACTGGGAGAAGAATGAGACAGAGGGGGAAAAAAAAAAAAAGTGGGAGCTGGCTGGTTAGCTCACTTGGGAGAGTATGATGCTGATAATACCAAGGTCAAGGGTTCGGATCCCCAAACCAACCAGCCGCCAAAAACAAGGAAGCAGAAAGAAGAAAAAATCATCTAGAGAAAACAAGAAAGGGAGTGTACGTTACAGAGAAGGGCTCAGGGACCTGTGGTAATGGCAGCCTTTTACAGGTGCCTCTCTTTAGGGAAGAACTACTCTCCCTCTATGTTCTGAGGAGAAGAGTTTCAGGCACTGGGGTTTTTAGGCCTCCAGTAGGATCCTCTGTACCACTGCCCAAGTGCCTCCATAAAAAAGACTTGCTCTGCTTGGGGCCCCCAGATTAAGCTACAATGGGGTGGTTCTGAGGCCTACAAGAGGCCCCAAGTCCCCCAGTACCTGTGTGGGTGGCCTCAGAAGCTGCAGCTCTGCTTGGGGCCCCCAGATTAAGCTACAATGGGGTGGTTCTGAGGCCTACAAGAGGCCCAAGTCCCCCAGTACCTGTGTGGGTGGCCTCAGAAGCTGCTGGGGCCCTGCTTGACTCCAGCACCAAGGGGGACTTGCCGCTGGCTGGCTTGGACTCCTCAGGCAGCTGTGACTCTTGAGACTTGTGGGTCTGAATCAGCTCTGGCTGTGTTACCCTAATCAGCTGAAAACAGAATCCAAGGTTTAGAGGAGGGAAGATAGACCCAGGCCTCTACTTTAAACAGCTAAGAGCTAAAGGAAAGCATTATGGCCTTGGCTCTAACCATCCACTCACAGAGAAATACAACAGCCAAACCAAAACCTCCTTTTAGAAGCTATTCTCCTCCCCTATCCCAAGTTCCACATTTCCCACAAAGGGAGCAAGGGAAAGGAGTGGTTAGCTGAGGCCCAGATCCACAAGACAGTGTGATTTGGGAATAAGAGTCAGATGCCACAGTGGGGGAAAGGTGGGCAAGGTTAGGCTGGACAAGGGCCAGGCAGGAGGGGCACCCACCTGCTGCAGGGCCTCCAGTACTGTCTGACGGTTCACCTTCAGCACGTGCAGCCTAGCCTCATACTTGATCCTGCGGTCGGGCACCACTGCCATCAGGTTGAAGCGGATGTCGTGGTAGGGCTCCCTGCAGTCACAGCCGCAGCCATGAGAGCAGCTCCTGCCCAGGCCCCACCATCAAGTTGAGGCAAATATCTTGGCAGGGCTCCCTGCAGTCACACCTGCAGCAGTGGTATAGGCCCTACCCCAATAGGCAGGCACCGGCTGGCCATGCACACCAGGCACCTGAGCTGGTGCCTTCAAATGAGCTGTGTGAGGGGCCTGTCAGGAAGTAAGCTAGCACACCTGGGCCACCCAAGGCTCCACCAAGGCCTGCACCTCCCTCAACCCATCCTGGAGCAGACCATAGGCAGGCCCACAGGAAATAGGGCAAGGAGTTGGAAGCCTAAGATCTAAGCCTAATCTTGCCAGATTTACCACATGGCCTTGCAATTTACAAATCATCTGGCCTCTCTCTGTCCTCCCCAAAGGGGAAATAGCTCCAGATGGTAGAGCCGGGCAGACACAGGGCCCTTACCCTGCAGTAGCGAGGCCAATACGCTCCATGATGACCCGCCGGGCTTTGTCTGTCCACTCCTCATCCTCCCCCCAGGGCCCTAGGGGAGACCAAGACGAAGAATCAACAGGTGGGAAACCCTGAGTTTGGACAGGCCAGGAGTGGGAAGGAAGATAGAGAGTAGCAGAAGAGCCAGGGAGTCAGGAGCAGGTCAGGCAATGCAGTGTAGGGTGAAATCCTGGCCAGAGTCAGATGTCCTCAGTAACTGCCCTCTTCTCCCTGCCCACCATTGGGTCCCAAGAACCTCAGCTCCCCAGGAGGTAAGGAAAGAAAACCAACAGGCCTCCAGGTCAGAATGCATACCATGGTCAATGGGGTAGACCTTCAGCCCATCCAGCTCAAAGAGCCGGCCTGTGATAGGCACATAGCTGACAAAGTGGAATGCCTCCATGGTCCGCACTGCACTAAGGCCGTTCTGCTTCTCGGGGAGGTGGCGTGGCTCAGGCCTGAGGAAGAATACAGTTAGGGACCAAAAACTGACCCCCCCCCCCCATCCCCACCTACATCGGCTACCACAGCTCCTACACACACCTGGCATGGCTATTGTGTGCCTTGGCCAACTCCGGGGCATTGCCAATTGCATATCCTTTGCTCTAGAGGAAAGAAAATAAGGCCAAATCAGAACAACTTCTCAGGTGGGCCTCAAAACTCCAGAAAACAGGTCCTGGAGGCATTCCAGGCATTTGAAGGAGCATAAACTTTCCTAAAGGGCTAGTCGGGGGCAGGGGCAGAAGAGAGCTCTTGAGCCCCAAAGAGATGGGATGTACCAGCCTGGCACAATACAGTGAACAGTGGGAAGCAACATGGCCTGATAGAAAAAGTCCTGACAGGGGCTGGCCAGTTAGCTCAGTTGGTCAGAGTGCTATGTTATAACATCAAGGTCAAGGGTTCAGTTCCCCAGACAGGCCAGCCACCCAAAACAAAACAAAATTAAATTAAAAAGCGTCTACCATGAAAAAGTCCTGACAAAGAAGGTTCTGACATGATGTGACTTAAGGAAAGTCTCTTCCCTCCCTAGGTCTGTCTCTTTTCCTGACAATTGGGCCTAAAACCAATTGTCTTATATAATTAATTTAAGGGTCAAATGTAATATAAGTGATTGTTTGAAAGGAAACAGCTTAATAGTACCAAATACCATATGGTGGCATTACCAGTGGCCCTGAAGGTCAGACCTGTCCAGCCAGCTATAAGCCAGGATTAAGGTACTGTGGCCTACCTCAGGACTGAAGCCTTTGGTGAAGTCCTTCATGCGACTCAGGGTGGGTCCCAGGTCCACGTTGCTGCAGTTCAGGAGCACACTCAGCAAGGCATGAGTGGCACAAGAGTTGGGGATCAGCTGTGAAACCAAGAATAGACATCTATAAACTGCATCCCTCACTCCAAGCCCCAAGTTCCTCCAAGCCCATACTCATGGGGAATGGGGATCCAGAGAGGGGCAGTCATATCTGGACAACAACACTCATCAGCTCCCCTCTTCTTCACCCAATATTTGTTCATTTAACAAGAACCAACTAAATACCCACCAGGTGTATGAGGATATGGAGAGTGTACTCAGATACCACCCTGCTCTAAAGATCTTGCCTTTAGTGAATAAGACTCAGTTCTTTCTGCCAAGGAATTTCTATAATCACCGCCCTTGGTATCTGCTTACTCCTCCTGCTGCCTTCCCACACTTCCACTTCACAAGCAAAGAAAATGGAAGAGCATCCCACCCTCCAGACAAAGCACAGGGCCCAGCAGACCTGATGGGCAAAGAACATGTTATTCACAATATCATCATCAATCACGGACGTATCATCCACCAAGGTAGAGACCTTGCGACGGGACCGACGCTCTTCGATCCATTTGAACAGGAAAATGAATCCATATACAGGGCTAGGGGAAGTAAGGGGCAGAGCTAGATCAGCCAAGGGACAGAAGGCAATCAGCATCCCCTTCCATCTCTCTCTATTCCTTTGCACCATGTCATCATTCAGGTGCCTTTGCTGTGATCCCACTTCTCCCCTCACTTCTTCCCAACACTGTGTCTAAAGTGGCCCTGAGCCCTCACACCCCAAGGCCTGCCACAGGCAGAGTCAAGCATCAGCTTTTGGCTGTGGTGCTCCAGGAGTCCTCTTTATGAAGTCTATGGTTCTGGGTAAGAGAAAAAAAGTTGGAACCAATGGACGGGGCAGGGAACACAATGTAAGGCAAACCGAAAACTCTGACGAGGAATTTAAACATTAATTTTCACTTGTGGACCCCAAAGCCTGGACCCCAATGCAGCCAGGGAAGCAAATAAACCCCCACACTAATCCCTTCTTTCCCAGGAAACTAAAGCAGACTTCTTGGTTCAGTCACTGTAGCAGTTTTTCTACACCTCTATTCTGCAAAATCACCAAGATGAGACCCTGAGTTTGGGCACCAAGAGGGGCCTTGTCACACCAACCAATTAATACAGAACTGCCTTTGTGTGGGGATTAAAGCCACTGCACACATGGGCACATTGTAATTAATAAATTACACAGCTGCATAAAAGGCACTGTATGACCTGGGGCTTCCTGCTGCAAGACCAGAAAAGACAGCTGAACTGTACTCCAAAGAATGGTTAGGGTTGTGGAGGGGGCTACTACGTAAAGGGAAGCGTTGAGGGAAGATTCACAGGGAAAAAATCCGCTTAAATAGGAGAGCACCCACACAGGATGGATGCTTCCTGATGTGAGACTTTACAACTTGGTGTTCCTGATTCTTTCTCCCTTGAGGGTCACTCTTCCCCAGACCCTTCCTCAGCCCTCTGGATGTAAGGGGAGGCCCTGGTGCCCAGCCACTCACCCCTGGCATTTGCTCTGAAGGTCATAGATCTCCTCTACCTGCACCCCTTTGACACCTGCGATCAGAAAAGGAAAGAGGTCGGGAAGGGCAGCCCCTGGCCCTGGAACAAGGGTTCAGGGATGGGCCCCAGGCCCCGGTCCGGCGGGCAGGGGAGGCTCTTACCGAAATCTTCCACCAGGAGGGTGAAGAGGCCTGGGTGGGGCGACAAGAGAGGGTGGGGGGTCAGGCAGGCGCACCCCCGGCCCATCCGGCCTCCCCAGCCCCCGACAAGCCCAGCCCCCTCCTCACCCGGATCGCTCTCTAGCTCCAGCCAGCCCTTGTTCATCTTCCCGCGGGGCGGCCGCTCAGCGCCATGTCCAGGCCCTCCCGACCCCCCGCCGCCCCCGCCGGGAGCCCCTGCTACCCGCGGGGCCCCTCAGCCCCACACACAGACAACGGGTCCCGCCGCGTCACCCGCCCGCGCCGGCGGCACGACGTCACCACAGCGCGACGGCCCCGCCCCACCTCTGGGCTGGTACCCCGCCGGTCTGACTGCCGATTCGGAGACGCGCTCGGAGGCGTACGCGCACGCGCGGGGATTGGGGCAAGAGGAAGGGGTGGGGGCGAGGGCGGTGTCGGGAGCCGGAGGCGCGAGAGGAAGGGGCGGGGCGGGCGCGCGGCCGTTAGCGCGCGGCCGTTAGAGGTCTCGGTTTGCCAACGGTCCCAGTCGCCGCGGTCTCCGTGGGTCTCAGTCACCGTGACCCGGCCCCGTTTGCGCGCTCCCTCCCACCGCTGGCGCAGTCACCGCGCGGGGTGGCCGCCCGTGAAGTAGCTACCACGGCTTGTGACAACGAACAAATCTCCGGGACAGCGGCGCCCTCAGCTACAGCTGGGCGGGCGGCCCGGCCGGCAGCGGCGGCCCGTGAGCTACCGTGAGGAGGGAGCGGTGGAGGTGACCTCCGGTCCGGCCCCGCATTAGCCGCCCTGCAGGCGCGACGTGAGCCTGGTCTGGCATCCGCGGGATGCTCCTTGAGTCTCTTCTCTGGCTGTTACCTCCGGGAGACGGTTGTGGCCACGCCGATACGTATTTTCCGAATAAATCACTGTTTATTCTTGCGGCGGCGGGACCGAACACGTTGATTTTTAATTTTCTCAACAAGCATTTACCCAGCTCTTATCCGGTGAAACAACTTGGTAAGCGTTTCTAGGGAGCATCCGCCGGGTTAGGAAATTACGAACTGAGCAGCTTGTGGAAGCCCGCATTTGCAACGTCCCTCCTCAGACGTTTTGAAGATTGTTGCATCTTATAACACCAGTGTGCACAGAATCCTATTCCAGGAACGTCTTGGTCCAGCGATGCAAAGAACTGAAGTTTCAAGGTTTTATGTCTCTTGCCAGATGGTCGGGATACCCCCAGCAACTGGGGACTGCTCGGTAGTCAGCTCTGGTAGATCCCTTATGAGAATAGTAGCGTTAGCGCACGCCCTTCTCTCTCCTCTTCCAGCCTGTCCAAGTGCTTTTGTTGAGGAAGAAGCCAACAAAGCTCATTACTTCTGCAACAGCAACATATGGGCTAGAAGAGGAGATGGAGCAACCACAAAGAAGGCGGGGGAGGGGGGGCAGGAGAGAATTGGTTTTCTGAACAGCTAATTGCCTTAGTAGTGCTGTTCCTGTAGAATAGTTGAAAGTACCTGAAAATAGATCCAAGGCCCTGGGTACCAGAGTATATCGCCTGGAGTGACGTAATTCCCCCAGCTCTCTTAGGAAATGCTGTCCCTCTCCTCTCACCTGCCTTTCTAGACACCCTCCTTCCTTCATAGTGGTGGATTTTATTTCTTTTGTCGTCCTGCACTTTCAGGGATTTCCTCCTTAACCAATGAAAACTGTACTTTGTAGTCTGCTGACATTGGTGGCTGGAGGAGTGGCAAGGTGTCTTCTCCACTTTTGAGTATTTTACTCTGCTCAGGTCTAGAGAAAGGTTGGGAACAGGCCAAACCTCAGTGGCCATCTGACTCTGGGGGAAAGAAGCGATACGAACTAAGGGGGTGATTAGTATTGTCAGTGTTGTCTCTTGTCTCACTAAAGGGAGTTCTTGCTTTTAGGCAGCCAAAATCTCGCAGGCTCCTTTCCTGAAAGAACTATCTTATCTACCTTTTACTGGGTAGAATTAAGGCACCTATACTTGGGTGCAAAAGGAGCCATTTTTACTGAGTGCTACCTCAGGCATTTAGTAAGCACAAAGAAAAAAAGAACTACTTAGCTAGGTCAAGCAGTATTTTCAGGTTCTTACACTGCTGTTGACAGCAGTATAACACGCGAGTTAATATTGGCCTCTGGAGCCAGGCGACTTGGCTTTAAAACCCACCTATATCATTTACTAACTCTGACCTTGGGCAAGATATTTACCTCTCTATGCCTCAGTCTCCTTGTCTTGAAAATGGGGATAATAACAGTACCTACTGCGTGGGGTTTTTGTGAGCTAACACATGTAAAGTGCCTAGGACAGTTCTTGGCACAATTTAATAATTATTGACTATTACTAGCACAATACTGGGTGTGTCCCTGTCATTCCATCACATGGGTTTGGAGGTGAGGAGCACTGTTGCATTGACCTGATGGAACTTGATAACGGAATGTAGAATGAAATTGCTGACCAAGCCTGGTTTATATTTATAGTTGGAAGAGCCTGTATTGTCCTCATAATAGTATAGAAGAATTCAAGATAGGAAAGAGAGACAGCAGCGAATGAAGACTATAAAAGAAAAGGAGAAGGAACACCAAAGATTGAGGTAGAGTAGATGACATAAGAGAATTTGGGAGAAATTGTCCAATGGCCTGTGGTATATACTGTACTTTTCCCCCCCTTTGGCTTGGTCTTGGGGGCTGGATTTGGCCAGTGAGGAGGCACACACCAGTGGTCCTGTGGAAGCTGCCCTACCTGTGTTCCCACAGCTGTCCCTAGTAGCAAAGTGCTGGCTCTGGAACATTACCACCTAGATTCATATTCTATCTCTGTTAGCTCATTTGGTTAGATCATGGTGCTACCAAAGTCCAGAGTTCAATCCCTATACCGGCCAGCTGCCAAAAAAATGAAAAAACAACAACCAACCAACCATATTTTGATTCTGCCACTTGCTAACCTGGGAAAAGTCACTTAATTTCTTTGTGTCTTAATCTCCTCGTCTGGAAAATGCATAATAATAGCACCCAATTTTTAGGGTGTTCTGTAGATTCATACAGCTACTGTAAATTCACTGAGCTAATACATGTACAGTGCCATGAATAATGCCTAGCAATAGGAAATGCTCAGTCAATTTTGGTATCATTTTAGTATACTTAATGAAGGTGATACCACCTGAGATTCAGAGTAGTTGGCAGCAGAAACAGTAAAAGAGTAAAAAGGGGTTTGCTCTTGCGTTCATTCAGTCAACATGGGAAGTACGGGCACTCGGGACAGAAAGATGGTTACCATCTGGTCCCTACCCTCAACTCAATGAGTATGTTTTGTGCTTTCAAAAAACTTTGAAATTTGAAAAGAAACATGTCTTAGCCTTTAGATATTTTGGTCCTTCATCAGACCCATGAATGGCATTCTAAGGGAAATGTTACAAGAGTTATCGACAGGGTTTTTAAAGACCATCTTGCACTTCTTTTTTCTTTTGTATAGAAAATCTGCCAAGACTAAGAGAGTAACCCAGAGGAAACCATCTTCAGGGCCTGGTAAGAAAGACTGGAGGTTGTATTCATCCACTGCCTCCAGATGCCAAGACTAAGAGAGTAACCCAGAGGAAACCATCTTCAGGGCCTGGTAAGAAAGACTGGACGTTGTATTCATCCACTGCCTCCAGACCTCAGCAAAGGAAACCACCTGTAGACAAAAAGGAAAAAAAAAAAAGAAAAGAAAAGAAAAGAAAAGCACCTGTGGGGCAGTAAAGTTGTTTCTCACTGTCAACCTCACTTCCTTCCCAGATTCTCTAAAATCATGAAGAGCTCAGGGACTGTCATTTTTAAATTTCTTGTCCAAAGTTCAAAACACAAGTTCATTAAAGCCACTTGAGACAAAATAATAATAATGATAATAAAGCAAACATTTGCAACCAACTCCTTCAGTGTGGCCAAAATTGTATAAAGACTTAACTGATTACCAAATAAGATCTCACCTCAACCTTCCTCCTTGCCAGAATGACCCATTTCCCCAATACTCTACTCCTTTCTATACTTAAAGAGATGGTTATGTTTCCACTCATCTCTTCCATTCTTAACGATCAACTTGAGCCAAACCTGTAATTCATAATGTTCTCTCTTCCAGTTTGCCGGTTATGCCTTCAAGAACCTGGGGATCCCGAAAAATTAGGGGAATTTCTTCAGAAAGGCAATCTCAGCGTGCATTATTTCTGTCTTGTGAGTATAAGGCCTCCTTTGCTTTGAATGTCCTATGGCCCTTTGGCTTTTAGTTCTATACAGACTATTCTCTATGTTTGTACCTAGCCTTTTATATTCAGAGCCCTGTTTGTTTTTCCGTTAATAAAATAAAAACTTTTTTCTTTGTAAATCTATTTTTAAAAAAATAATATATGTGCTTGGTATAAAATCCTGACAATATAAAGCATATGCAACAGAAAGTCTCTTCCCAAAATAATATTCCTAATCCTCCCTCTCCACAGAAACATGCTGTCAACATTTGTAATGTCCTTCCAGTTATTTTTCCTCAGTATTCTTTTTTTTTTTTTTTTGGTATAATCTGCATACTATAAAATGCACCAATTTTAAGCATATAGTTTGATGAGTTTTGATAATGTATATCCCCATGTAACCACCGCCCCAATCAAAATAAATAACATTTCCATCACCCCAGAAAGCTCCCTCCTAGCGCCTTCTAGTCAATCCCACCAGAGATAATCTATATATGTTATTTTTGCCTATTCTTTTAGTTCATATAAATGGAATCATACAGTTTATACTCTTTCATATCTGGCTTATTTCTTCCTTCCATGTTGTTGCATGCATTGATAGCCTGTGCCTTTTTATTGCCTGGTAGTATTCTGTTGTATATGTTACAATTTGCTTATCTGTTCACCTGTTCATGGACATTTGAATTGTTTCCATTTTGAGACTGTTACGAATAAAGCTGCTATGAACATTCATGTGCAAGTCTTTTTGTGAACATGTGTTTTTACTTCTCTTGGGCAAATGCCTAGGAATGGAGTTATTGGTTGTATGTTAACTAGATGTTTAACTTTACACAATGTTGCCAAGTCTGTTCCCAAAGTGATTGTACTAGTTTGCACTCCCATGAGCAATTTATGAGAGTTCCAGTTGCACAATATTCTTGCCAAAACTTCGTATTGTTAGTCTTTTTAATTTTAGCCATTCTACTGGGTATGTACTGGTATCTCATTGTGGTTTTAATTTGCATTTCTCTGATGACTAAAAGATGTTAGCTTCTTTTCATGTGCTTATTGGCCATTCACATATTTTCTTTTGTGAAGTACCTATACAAATATTTTTGTCCATTTAAAAAATTGTGTTATTTTCTCTTTTTATTGAGTTATAAGAATTATTTATATATTCTTCATACAAATTTTTTTCAGATGTATATGGTAGACTATTTTCTCCTGGTCTGTGGCATGCCTTTTCATTTTCTTAATGGTGTCTCTTGAAGAACAAGTTTTTATTTTTGATGAAGTCCAGTTTATTGGTTTTTTCTTTTATAATTAGTGCTTTTTGTGTGTCCCAAGAAATCTTTGCCTGCCAATTGAATTACTTTGCTGCCTTTGTCATCATCAATTGACCATGTATCTGTGGATCTGGATGATCTATTGATGTCATTGATCTGTGTGTCTATTCTTATACCATTATCCCACTGTCTTGATTATTGTGGCCTTATTATAGTATCTTGAAATTAAGTATTGTAAGTTCCGCAACCTTTTCAAGATTGTTCTAGCTATCAGGTCCTTTCTTTTTCCTTATAAATTTTAAACAAAGTTTGTCAGTTTTTCTTTTTTTTTTTTTTTTTTAAAAGCCTGCTAGGATTGTGATTAGAATTACATTGAATTTGTAGATCAGTTTTGGAAGAATTAACAAGCAATATTGAATCTTTTAATCCATGGATGTGTTACATTTCTCTATTTATTTGGTTCTTTTAAAATTTATCTCAACAGAGTGCGGTGCTGATAACACCAAGGCCCCGGGTTCGGATCCCATATAGGGATGGCCGGTTCGCTCACTGGCTGGGCGTGGTGCTGACAACACCAAGTCAAGGGTTAAGATCCCCTTACCGGTCATCTTTTAAAAAAAATAAAATAAAATAAAAATAAAAAATAAAATTTATCTCAACAGTGTTAAATATTTTGTGGTTATGCTATTGTAAATGGTTTTTTTTATTTCATTTGCAAGTTTGTAGCTGGTATATAGAAATGCAGTTTATTTTTGTGTATCGACTTTGTGTCCTGCAATCTTGTTAAATTCACTGATTAGTTTAGTCATTTTTTTTAAAAAAAATTTTTGTAAATTCCTTAGTATTCCCTATGTACACAATCGTGTCATATGTGAATAAAGACAGTTCTACTTCTTCCTTTCCAGTCTTTGTCTTTTATTTCTTCTTCTTGCCTCATTGTACTGGCTAGGACCTTCAGCCTAATGTTGAATAGAAGTGATGTGAGTGGTCATCTTTGTCTTGTTCCCAGCATCAGGGGACAGCATGTAGTTTTTCACCATTAAAATATGGTGTTAGATGTAGGTTTTTTTAATAGATGCTTTTTATTAAAGTTCCCTTTTATTCCTAATTTGCTGAGGAATCATGATTGTGTTTTGAATTTTGTCAAATGATTTTTCTGCATCTATTGAGATCATCTTGATTTTTATCCTTTAATGTGATTTGTTATATCAACTGGATTCTTTAATGTTAAACTAATCTTGTATTCCTGCTATAAACCCACTTGGTCATAACATATTATCCTTTTTATATGATGGTGGATTCAGTTTGCTAATATTTTGTTTGATTTTTATGCTTAACCTCATGAGAAAGATTGGTCTGTGATTTTCCTTTCTTGCCAGTCCAGTCAGGTAACAGGGCTTGGTTAATTTTGATGCATTTATAAGCATATACATTTTTTTTTCCTTTTTGTCTTTTTTCGTGTCCGGCAACGGATCGCAACCCTCAGTGTTGCGCCCGTACCGGACCGGGACCGGCAACGGGATCGCAACCCTTGGTGCTGCACCCGTACCTCGCTCAGCCAGTGAGCGGGAACCAGTCTGTATGTGGGATCCGAACCCTCGGCGGGAGCGCCACCACGCTCCAAGCGGCGCACTGTAGCAGTGCGCCACCGGGCCGGCCCTAAGCATATACATTTTTAACATAAAAATAAACATACTATATACAGTGTTTTGTATCTTGGTTTTTTTTTTTTTTTTCATTTCATATATTTTGGAGATCTTTCCATGTAGAACATATAGATCTAGTTTTTTCTTTTTAATAGCTAATTAATATTTCATGGTATGGTGTGCCAAAAAGTATTAAAACAACTGCCTGTTAAAGAACATTTAGGGGCCGGCCTGTGGCTCACTCGGGAGAGTTTGGTGCTGATAACACCAAGGCCGCAGGTTCGGATCCCGTATAGGGATGGCCAGTTCGCTCACTGGGTGAGCGTGGTGCTGACAACACCAAGTCAAGGGTTAAGATCCCCTTACCGGTCATTTAAAAAATAAATAAATAAATAAGAAAGAAAGAAAGAAAGAACATTTAGATTGTTTCTAATCTTTTACTATTGATTTTTCTGTTTATGCTCATTTTAGAAAACATGAATAATATTTAAAAATATAAAGAAAACATAGGGACTGGCCAGTTAGCTCAGTTGGTTAGAGTACAGCCTCATAACACCAAGGCCATGTGTTCGGATCCCCGCACTGGCCAGCCACAAAAAATAAACAAAAATTTTTAAATATGAAGAAAACAGAAATCACTCATATTATCCTAAAGCTCTGAGATAATTAACGTTAAAATATATGTCACATATGTTTTAAGCAGAATTGGGAACATACAGCTGTAATCTAAGTACCTTCAAGTTATCTAACATTGTAGGGTCACTTTTTCCATAATGTTATAATAAAATAACCTGAGCTCCCATTACTTATTTCATGTAAATTACTGCAGGGAGTCTAGCACCCTCCCCAATATTTTTGCAAGATTCTTGGAATGGGGGTTAGGTGGGATGTTTATATTCTCCCTTTATATGTAACAGAACAGTTTAGCTTCTTTTACTTTGGTTTCCCATTCTAGACTGCTTTGGGAACTTTCCAGAAACAAAAGGACTTTTAAAGTGTGTTTTTAAAAGAAAAATGCGATTCCTTCCCTTCCCCTATAATACAGAATGACTATAGTCAGGACATTTTAAAACCCTGTTTCCCTTCCTATAGGACTCTGAGAAGATTATTCTATAGTGAGTGGCAATACAGCTGGAGGGATAAGAGTGTGGGTTCTATGTGAATGACGGCTCTGCTCCTCCTGGCTCTGTGACCCCAGCCATGTCACTTACCATGCTGTACTTCAGTGGCCTCCTCTGTAAGATGAGGGTCACGGTAGCATCTGTATCATAGGGTTGTGGTGAGCATAAAGTGGGTCAGTACAGAGGAAGTGTTTCCCCAAAGTGCTCAGCACATAATAGTAACCCTTAGTAAATGAGAGGTGGCATAGTGTAAAGGTGGGTAAGAGTCCAGGTTATGGAGTTCTGCCTTGAGCAAGTCACATCATCTCTCCTACAAAATGGGGATGAAAATAGTATCTACCTCCTAGGGTTGTTAAGAGGATCCAATAAATTAATATTTGAAAAGCCCTTAGGGCCGGCCCCATGGCGCACTGGAGAGTGCGCCGCTTGGGAGTGCGGCGGCGCTCCGGCTGAGGGTTCGGATCCCATGTAGAGACGGGTTCCCGCTCACTGGCTGAGCGTGGTGCGGGCTCAACACCGAGGGTTGCGATCCCGTTGCCAGTCAGTAAAAAAGACAAAAAGGGGGGGGGAAAAAAAAGCCCTTAGGAAAAAATAAATAAATAAAAGAAAAAAAGAACAGCCCTTAGAGTACCCAACACTTAGTGCTATGTAAGCCTTCATTAAATTACCTTGTAAAAGCATATATATTCAACCAAGCTCTATTTCTTAGCCAGCTATATTACCCTGTCATTCACCTCACCCCACAGCACTATTTCACTGATCATTAATGTTGACAGCCTGGTTCTGCTGCCCCCCAGATCCTATCTAGCAAGCTGCCTCAGAGGGGCCAGTCCAACAGAGGTTTCCATGGATTCCTGCCTGAAGACATCAAAAAGGAGGCAGCCCGGGCTTCTAGGAAGGTTAGAATCTCCTGAAACAGAAACCTTTGGGTAGTCCTCTTCTCATACCTCTCTCATCATCCCTATTTCCTAGTTGCTAGTCTAGAAGTCAAAAGACTTGGATTTCCCAACTGGTCCTTCTCTTAAGCCCCATATTCCTTTGAGGTGTAGAGTCCTAAGTTAGGAAAGGGAGCAGCACCCCGTGAAAACAAAAAAAGTTCAGTGCCACTTGAAGCTCAGCTTCAGGGTGCCCCAGAGCTTTCAAGAGGAAAAGGAATGGCTATTGCTTCACAGAATTTTCATTCCATAGAAAGATGTGCCACCACATATCTGCTTATCTTTCTTGGGGCCCTGAGCACTGGGATCTCATTTGCAGATCTGCTTTGTGTGCAAGAAGAAGGGAGCTGCTATCAACTGCCAGAAGGATCGGTGCCTCAGAAACTTCCATCTGCCTTGTGGCCAAGAAAGGGGTTGCCTTTCACAGTTTTTTGGAGAGTACAAGTGAGTGTGGAAGGGGAAATGTTGGGCTGCCCTTTTGCAACTTGCTATTTAGTCACTAATGAAATCAGAGTCTGGTTCTCAAGAGGCCTGTTTTGGTTCACCAGTGAATCTTTTCCTCTTTTCAATAATGGGAAACAGTGTCTTAACTTGGAGATTTCACAGGGGCTTCCTGTCCCCTCCTTAAATTACAGACAGCTGGGGTTCTTAGACAGCTGCTCAGAACTAAGTGGGGCTTTCAAGAACAGGAGGCTGTGGAGACAGTCCTGGGAGCTTTTCTCAGTGGGGGAATGGCCATGAGAAGGCATGTGGCTGTTCTTCACCCTGCTTCTCCTCCTCCCCATGAATGTGGAGGTTCACAAGGCACCAGCCTGAGTGGCTGATTGACCTTCCTAGGCTGGGCAGCTGGGGAACTGCATCAGAAACCAAGTCTGTTTACCCTGCCACAGATCATTTTGTGGAAAACATCGTCCAACTCAGGACATCCAACAGGGGAATGTGAGGGAGGAAATCTGTGTCTTGTGTTGTGAAGACTTATCCCAAGCAAGTGTTGAGAACATCCAGAGCCCGTGTTGTAGTCAAGCTATCTACCACCGCAAGTGCATACAGGTGGGGACTTCTCTTCCCAGGGGGACCTTCCACAATTGCCGTAGTTCTCTGCCTGGAACCAGAGCACCCTGGGAATGCTCAGGCACATCTCAGCTTTGGCGGTCCATGATGGAGGCCTGTATGCAGGGCTGGTTCTGGGCAGTTAAGAGAAATGTCAGCCCAGTCTCTGGTAATCCTTGGCCTGTAGGACTTCACTCATAAAATTTAGACTGAGCAAAATCCTCAGAATTGCTAGAGCAAATGGGCTTATCCCAGAATGAGTCAAGGACCCTCAAAATCAGCCTTACTTCCTGGGATGAAAGAAAACGGAAACATGTATCCAGCTACCTGACCCCCACTTTGTCAGCACTGCCAAGCCCCATGGCCAGGGATGATAGCTGAGGCACTCCTGAGAATTCTCTTTTTTTTTTTTTTTTTATAAAGATGACCGGTAAGGGGATCTTAACCCTTGGCTTGGTGTTGTCAGCACCATGCTCACCCAGTGAGCGAACCGGCCATCCCTATGTGGGATCCGAACCTGGGGCCTTGGTGTTATCAGCACCGCACTCTCCCCAGTGAGCCACAGGCCGGCCCCTGAGAATTCTCTTGAATGTATTTTGGCACCAGGTCTGACATCTGGATTCACATCCCAAACTCCTTTTCTACCAAACTACTCCACCCAAACTCCTTTTCCTGTACCCCCGGTCAAACTATCTTAGCAGAATCATCTTTGTATGGTGAAAGAAGAAGTGGAAAGAAGGTGGCCTAAGAGTTCTTAAAAACAAAGCTCTTCCATGTTTTTCTTACAGAAATATGCCCACACATCAGCAAAGCATTTCTTCAAATGTCCACAGTGTAACAATCGAGAAGAGTTTCCTCAAGAAATGCTAAGAATGGGAATTCATATTCCAGACAGGTAGTGGAAACCCTAAAGCCAGAATTGAGTCAGAGGGTGGGTTGCTTAGATTTCTAGAGAGGAGGTGAATGTTAGGACAGTTCAGAGAATGACAGCAACCAAGGTGTTGATATACAGTGAAGAGGGAAGGGGTGGAGGGAGTGCTTTTCAATGATCAAAAGAAAAGGGAGGGGGGGAAAGGAAGGGTAGGGGAGGCATGTTTCTGAAAAGGGCATTTTGGGGATCAGAATTCCCTGGGAGGTTGGGTTCTTGAATTCCAGGGTGGAACTAAGGAATCCCCATGTTCCACTCATCCTGCTTCAGCCCTCTCCCACTGCCAGGCCACTTGCCCAGCCTCATTGGAAGTGTTCAGGGAGACTGTTGAACTCTTTTGCTGTGCTTAGCTTGAGTTCTTCCTAGTTTTTCCCAGGTGGACAAAGGTTCACCAACCAGTTATGTATCCCTTACTCAGTGTTTCTTCTCCTACTGCAGAGATGCTGCCTGGGAACTTGAGCCAGGGGCTTTCTCAGAGTTGTATCAGCGCTATCAGCATTGTGATGCCCCCATCTGTCTGTACGAACGAGGCAGAGACAGCTTTGAGGATGAAGGGTAAGGAAAGGCTTCTGGCTAGAAATAGCTCTCTTCAGTGCCATCTTAGAGTTAGACCTTGGCACAGTTATTAGGAGAAGAAATTCATTCATTTTTTTTTTTTTAAATGACTGGTAAGGGGATCTTGACCCTTGATTTTGAGTTATCAGCACCATGCTATCCCAAGTGAATGAACCGGCCATCCCTATGTAGGGATCCGAACCCATGGCCTTGGTGTTATCAGCACCACACTTTTCCAAATGAGCCACAGGCCGGCCCTAGAAATTCATTCTTGACTGCAGACCTCAGGGTGAACACAATTGCTAAGTCCCATTCTTGACCAGCCCTGACTTACTCATGTGCAAGTGAATAGGTCTCCTCTGTAGGGTCCACTTTTCCTTGTGCCCTCTGCCCAGAGCACTCAGCCTCTTTGAGCCCTCATCCGTGATGGGTAAAATGTACAGTAAAAAATGCCTGGGAAGCCCTCAGCACAGCTGAGGCTGGCCCATAGCAAACACTTGAGAGTGGTGGTTAGTGTTCTATTTGTCCCTGCAACCCTTCTTGTCTCTTCCTGTAGGAGGTGGTGCCTCATTCTGTGTGCTACATGCGGATCCCACGGAACCCATAGGGACTGTTCCTTTCTTAGATCCAACAGTAAGAAATGGGAGTGTGAGGAGTGTTCACCTTCTGCTTCAGCCACAGGTGGGGCTAGAGAGATGATCCGGTCTAAGAACTGGGGTGGGGTTGGGGGGACTTGTAGTGCCTGGGGAAGGAGGAAGGAAAGCCACCAGAGGAGGACTTTTAGTTGGCACCTTTAGCTTTGGAAGGAAAGTGGCTAGGAAGGGGCTTAAGAACCTGCACCTGAGAGAATCAGACGATTGAGTTTTTCTCTCCCACCTTTCTTTTACCACAGACTACATACCTGAAAACTCAAATGACATTTCCTACTGCAGCAGCACCTTCCACCCTGAGAAGCGTTTCTGCAGAGACAGCTGCCTGGAAGAGAATCCAGGCCCTTCTTGGATTGATAGGCCACGACCTTCCTTATTAGAAAAGCCAGAATCCTCTGGTGGTAGGAGGAGTAACTCCTGGAGGTCCAAGGGTGTCAAAATGGCTAAGAGCTGCAAAAAATCCAAGTAACAGCCTGTGAGTGGTTGCTGCCAAGCACAATTGGGTACGAAGCTGTGCTCCACCATTGGGTTTGGGGGAGGGAGCACTTTGGGACTCTGAGACAAGGAAAGGGGGCCAGCAGTGAGACTATGAGCCAAGTAAAGAGAAACCCCAGGGGAATGTGAGGAGAGAGCAGAGTCCAGATGCCAACAGCAGAACGTGTTTGTGGTTACGAGGGCACCTCTGTTCTTTCTCCCTGATTCCCAGAAGGTCCTTTCTTCTCTTCTACCAGGATTCTTCCACCTTAATCTGCTTCTCATATGCCTCTTCTTACTTCATCCATGTTTGTTATTATGCAAATAAAGGTTTTCTCTCCATTGGTGTCTCCTTATAAATTCACTCTGCAATTTGTCTAGCATACTAAGGAATCTAGAGGGTAGAGTAAGGGAATAAGATAACTCACCCTTCTAATCCACTAAATTCACTGAATTAATATATAACTTTCAACTTAGAACATAGATGTGTTTCTTTGGGAGGGAATCAGTTTGCAGGGAAATTGGCCTTACAGGGGCAGAGATTTTTATCATTGTGCAAATGCACAGGTTCTCATCAGGGAAGTGAGCCAGCATAGTAGTCCACATTGGACTGAGAATAGGCCTTTGTTGCAAGGGCCCTGGACTTAAAAGAGGCTAGGTCCAGCTTTGCTCATGTGGGGCAGAAGGGACTCCATTTACTCCACCAGCATGGTCTTCAGCCACATTGGACTGAGAATAGGCCTTTGTTGCAAGGGCCCTGGACTTAAAAGAGGCTAGGTCCGGCCTTGCTCATGTGGGGCAGAAGGGACTCCATTTACTCCACCAGCGTGGTCTTCACACTTCCCCAGCTTGTGTGAGCCAGTCAAAACCTCATTGCCTGGTGGTTAGAGCATTTCTGTCCCTAGTGTAACTATGGATTTGCCTGCCAGGATATTCATATTAGGCACAGCGGCTAAGATGGGAATCTGGCAGAAGGCCTAGGGAGAAATTGCATAAAGTCTATCTTACATTGGTATGTTTTTAATGATTTCATGGAATTTGGATTAGTGGGGGAACTCAGAACCATTGCCAGATACTGAGTTCTCAGGATCTCACAGAGTCATTATCACTAATGGGGGAGGATAGTGTTCTTATTCCAAACATTGCCGACACCTGCAGACTTACGTTTGAGGTGTGTATACAGTGATCACCTTCAGACGGATTTTACCAGATTCACTTGGCATCAAATGGAGGATTATTTGTGTCTTTTTGTTATTAAGTATATAGGCAAGGTAATACAGACTTTAAGAAGTCTAATATTACCAAAAGTATTGTAACTAAAAACAGTCTTGAAACTTACCCTTCCCTACTTCTAGTCCTACTCCCAAAAGGCAACTACTTCTCTTTTTTATTTTAGCCATTTCTTGATTTATTAATCTCAGATATTATTGACTTTCTATTATGTTACATAAATATTTAGAACCTTCCAATTTTCATTCTCCCCATCTTATATAGTTGTATCACAATTTTTGTTAAATTAACTTTTGGTGTTTACATTATTATAACTATGTAAATGCTATTTACCACTGAGTCAGGCAGTACACTATAGTTACCTTTCCTCTCCAGTATAATGTTTTCTTCTTAAAATAAATTTGCTGTATATCCATTGCTAATTCTTCTCAAATGTTCCAAGTAATCAATAAAATGCCTCAATATACAATTTCCCTCAGAGGCCAGCCATCAGATCACTATCAATTGCACTTCCTTTCTGGAAGACCTGCCTCCCAGAGCCTACTCCTTCTGAGCTGGCTGTTCCCTGGCCTCCTCCACAGCTGTCACCCCATGACTATGCCCTTTTTCTTCGTTTTCTCTCTTATGGGTTTGGCAACTCAATGTTAGCCCTCCTAAGGAGATTCTGTCAGAGATCTGCAAGTAACAAGAGGATTTTTAAATTGTCAGTTGTAATTTCAAAAACAATATTTTACCCATCAAAAATACTCAACTCTTGCAGTGATTATTCACAACTGAAAGATACTTCCTAGATTAAGACTTTGGTTTCTTAACCCAGATTTTCTTTTTTTTTTTTTTAAAAGATGACCGGTAAGGGGATCTTAACCCTTGACTTGGTGT